TTGACAAGAAAAAATTCTCTTGATTCAATCAGATCGGCGTCCTCCGAGTCCACTTCTACATCAAAAGAAACTCTCAATGCAAAGATAGGGAGCATATACATTAGCAGTGATACTCCGTTTTCAGTTTTGGAGTCCCCAAATAAAGTGGCAGCCCTGTTAATGTCTTTGCTCCCTATCTTTGCATGGAGAGTTTGTTTTGATGTAGAGGTGGACTCTCAGGGTAGGGCGGGATATCCCCTCCATTTTGGCTTCACTTTGAGAGCTTTTTTTGCGCTTGGGAGTTGATTCCAGAGAAAACCAGTGGCACCATCGTGTTTCTCGCGAACTTTTACGTAAGAATCAACAGTAAAATCGCAAATTCCTCACACATGCAACATCTCCATTCGAGTTTTATCGAAGGAACTTTGGCAACGCCTGAAGGTTCGTACAGCGTTGTTCCTTTTAGCACGACAGCATAGGAAGTTCCAACTCGCCCCCAAGTCTGTATGAAGATACCTTCGGGAATATTAGGCGCGGGACATCTTGAAGGCTGATCCCGGAGCTGTTGCGAGTCATGACTCATGCTTACTAGACTGTGAAATTTTGCCGGTCCGTTCTCCAACTCCTCGTCGAGTTGGGACTTCCTCTCTTCTGAGAAGACCCGCGTCCCTCGTCCGTCACCACCAGCGCGGCTCGAAATTCGCGTGCTTTTCCCCGACTTGGACGCGAAAGTGTGTTTTTATGGTCGAGCCTGACAACAGGTACTTATGTCTCGTTAAACAATATCGTTAAAGCACTCTCGAGCCGGGCGACGGTCGAGAGGAAATGACGCGCAAGAGGGATGCGCGTTCTGTATTGATTCTTCGCGCACAATTCCGCCGTGCTAAGGAAAAACGCCGTATGAACTTTCGAGAGTTGCTGAATATCCTCCCATAAAATGTTAAATTTGAAGATTTATGAATTTTTTTTCTTGAAATTTTCAGATAACTGAGATCTGAAGATGAATCAAATTCCCTGAAAAATTGGAGGACAAATATTCACAGATTCTCCTGAATATTCATGTTTTATCGAGTGAAATTTGGCAGCGTCTAATGGCTCATACGACGTTCTTCCTTCGCACGGCAGAATGGGTGACGATGCGACGCGACGCGACGCAACGCAATAATCGACATTGCGCAACAGAGCCAATTTATTTTGATGCTCTTCAAAATCCGCGCCGCGCAATCATCACTGAAAAATGGTCTCGCTCAGCCTCGTGTTTTTCTGTGCTAGGAGATAAAGTACTTTTTCAGACATAGCAAAGCCATGTGGACCTAAATTCTGCAACCTCCCATTTTGCAATCGGAAACCACTGTTATTGGCTCATTTTTGGAACAACAAATGATGTGCCATTAGTTCCTGAGTGGATGAGGGTGATTTCATGGATGATCCAGAAATAGTGGCTCCTTACTGCGAGTTGTAGTCCATTGAGTGCCCAGTTATTGAATGATCTTGGCTAATGGCCGTAAGTAAGCAAACGAGGTAACGACTTCACACAACCACTGTATTTCCCCTGGAACAGACAAGAAAAAAAACTGGAAAATTGGATGTTTCCTTGAATCGAAAGCCAAGCCTCCAAATTTAAGAAAATTTCTTTTTTATGGAGCAAAAATCCGACTGAATCAAGAGCAATTTTTCTTGACAATTTTTCAAGAATCCGGACTCTGGATTCAACAAACTTTTTTTCCAGTGGCCCATATGTGTTTTTATGTATGAGTCAAAATTCGTAGTTCTACATTGCGAAATGCAGTCCAACCGTAAAGGAATGGACCGGTTCTAAATCATTTTTGGAGCGAGTAGTCAAAATTTAGAGGACTTGAGCTTCTTCTGATACGATAGAGATCCGCAGAAGAGGTCCTGATATTTCCCAAAATGTGCCGATTGTGTCCAGTAAATTTTGTCTAAGGTGACCCTTTGGGCCACAGTTTAGGGAGCTCTCCAGCCCCCTGGACCAATCATACATTGTTACCTGAAAAAAAGTCTAGGAGTCTCGTCTCAGGATTTGCATTTAGGCCCCTCCTGGTATGATAGAGATTCAGAGGGGGCCCTGATATTCCCTAAATTGTGCCGATTGTGGCCCCTAAAATGCCTCTGAGGTGCAAGGTGCCCCTTGGGCCACAGTTTAGGGAGCTCGCCAGCCCCCCGGACCAATCATACATTGTTACCTGAAAAAAAGTCGAGTCTCGTATCAGGATTTGCCCTCGGACTCCTCCTGGTATGATAGAGATCCAGAGGAGGCCTTGGTTTTTCCTAAAATGTGCCAATGGACCACTAGACAAGGTACGGATTTCAGCATTCTGATACATGTTTCTTAATCATAATTTCACGTAAAACACGATGCACACAACGAAAAGTACAGAAATTAACTCCTTACGAAGATATTTAATGATTCTTGATGCGTGAATTCAAACCACCCGCTCATGAAAACTCAATGCTCTACGTGACTCACATCGCGCGCTGAACGTTATCATGAATTCATGACAGTATCTTCCGATGTAAAAATCTGGCAACCTTTATCTTGACGCTTTGGCTCAGCTATAGCTAGTTGTTTATAGTTCGAACAACACATGGTGGGAAATGAACATTGCCCGATTGAGAAGCTTGCTGAAACCGTTGTAGTGCACGATTTGACTCACGTTGAGCTTTGAGTTTCGTATGAGCGGGCAGTTCAAATTCCTCGTAACCAATGTGAAATAAAAACGTTATCTTTGTTATGAGTTGGTTTCAGCAATTTTCGTTGTGTGCATCGTGTTCTTCGTAAAATTCTGGTCAAGAAATATGTACCAGATTACTTAAATTCGTACCTTGTCTAGTAGTCCATTGTGGACCCTAAATTGTGTCGGAGATGCCCCTTTGGGCCACAGTTCAGGGGGCCCACTAGCCCCCCGGACCGATCATACATTGTTTCCTGAAAAAATGTCTAGGAGTCTCATCTCAGGATTTGCCCTACCTTGACCGGATAGCACGCACGCAACGGACGTCATCTTGGATGACTCTGAAATTCAGTAGCGCACGAATGCCCGATTTTCCGGCGTCGGCATCGACGTTGCGTTTAGGCCCAGAGCACGGGACGGGAGCCGCAAGCGATGCTATCACGCGAGATCACGCCTCGCGCCTCCGTGCGGCGCAGAGTGGAACGAGTCTTCGGAATAAGTCGGACATGAAATTTCTCACAAAAATTGTAAAATTGTACGTTTATCTCGTCACAATTTTAATTTTTAGGGGTGCTTCATACGGACAATTTTATGAGAAAATCAAAGAAACTACTTTTAAAACAAAAACATTTCATATCAATGAAGATATAGGCTTTCAAAGTTTTTAAATAATGTCCGACCTCTCTCGTTGATTTGATCCACTGTGCGGCGGCCGTGGCGAGCGACCGCGCTCCACGAAGGCGATCAACAGCGATAGCAACGCCGGCGACTTTGATGACCGCTAGAAACAGAACTTTCAATCACATCATAGACGTTCTTTGCTGATCAGGCTGTCGAGATTTGGAACTGTTTTGGTCCCGAAGGGGGCCCGACTGGACTGAGTTGAATACGAAGGAGCCAAGTCTTATTTTGGAGAAGAGCACTGGAAAAAAAAAAAAAAAAAAAACACATTGGATCTAGAGTCCAGACTCTTAAAAACATCGACAAGAAAAAGTACTCTTGATTCAATCAGAATCTAGCTTAAATCAAGAACTAAGCCTCTTAATTTGAGCAGATTTCCTTTTGATTCAAGCAAAAATCCGATCGAATCTAAAGTATTTTTTCTTGTCGATGTTTTCAAGAGTCTGGGTAGCCGTTCAAAACTGTACCCGCTGAAAATGTTGGATTCTCTGCAAGGGAGTTGTATGAAGTTAAGCGTAAGTTTCAGGCTGTCCCGATGTACGCATCGTGTCATTGGGCCAATTTCTATCTAAGGCAACTCTTATTCTAACCTTCGGCAAAATTTTGCAAGTGACTCATTGAAAATTTGCCTCGCAGCAAATAGAAAGTTTTTCTAATTTACCCCAAGTTTGAATAGAGAATTTGCAGTTATCTTAAATTTTGTGATTTTCATCTTTAAAATGATACTACCAGGAAATTAGAGTACGAGTACATCTGTTGTCTCTAAATTGAATCACTATTGGAGAAAATATGACAAAATAACCTAATCTGCGAAAATACATATCTTCAAGTGAAAAATACTGCCAGATGAAATCGTAAGGCGGCTTATTTTCTCACTTGTATTTCGTATTTTTCTCCAATTTCCCATGTCAGATAAAAATTATGAAAAATACTGCGAACTCAGCTTATTAGACGCTCTCAGATGAAGCAATAAATTTTTCATGTGCAAATTCTCCATTGAACCGACTATATTCTAAAAACACGTTAGCGCTAATCTGTATTTCGGTGGTACACGGAGAAAAAAACCTCGTGCGTGGGACTCGAAGTTTAGGTCATATGGATCACTGAAGTTTTCAGATTGAGCATCTGAACAATTTAGATCTAGCTGTCGAGGTTCGAATGGCACATTTGAAACGTCAGTTCTTACATCTGAAGTTTTTCAGTTGTGAGAACCGAAGTTTTTCGGATGTGAAAACCGAAGTACTTCAGATGTTAGAACCGAAGTTTCAGATGTGTGATCCAAACCTCGACAGCTAGATCTAAATTGTTCAGATGCTCAATTCGAAAACTTCAGAGATCCATAAGACCTAAACTTCGGGCATCACGCACGAAGTTTTTTTCTCCGTGTAGATGGGTTGTTTTTTCTTTGTTTCCGCTGGTATAATCAATTATGCCTGATTCCAAAGGAGCCCTCTAAAAGAACGTACATTTTTTGGAATTCGGAGATTGTTAACAAAGCGATATTTCTTGTTTTTCTCTCATTCGCAATTTTGGCGCTTACGTGATTTGAAGACTAATCGGTTCAAGTGAGGGAGGGGGAAGGGAGGGGGCAAGTTTGATTTGAGCCGGACGATGCATAGAGTGATTCCCTTTGTTTCTCTGTTGCAGGAGCGAGGAGAGTTCGGGGTCGACGATCGGGCGGTGGCTCCGCGACCTCCGCGGCGGGGGAGGAGGAGGCGGCGGGGAGGGGGCGGGCAAGAGCGCGAAGCAAGTGCAAGTGCTCGAGGGGCACGAAGGGGGCCGCGGCGGAGGGGGAGGGGGGCTGGACCGAGGGAGCGTGGTCTACCGGAGCGAGGGCAAAGGCCTGAAGGCCTCCAGGAAGAGCAAGGAGAAGGACATCAGGCGGCATTCCTTCAACGGACACAAGAGCGCCGAGCACAAGGGCAGCAGAAAGTCCAGGTAAGCACCACACTCATCACTTTCCTACCGTCACTCACCAATCATCGACCGCCGATCACCGTCCATCGGTGGCCCGTCCATCCTGCCGTCTATAGGTCTCGATAGACGATCAAATTCCCGAACCAATTGCCATCAAAGTGTCGGGAGTCATCAGACTTAAACTCATTAATTTGCTTAATTTTAAAATGAAAACTTGGCAGAAATGTTTCCTGTGGCAGGAAATGATGAATGGCGGCACTCCATTCTGATTTTACTTTGAAGAAAATAGTGCGGCCCGTCAAAATTTGATGGTAGATGGTGACCATCAGTCATCAGCATGTCTACTTTGATCAGAATTGGTTCGGAATTTGATCGTCTATCCAGGGCTAATGGATTTAAATGGAGCATTAGCTGTGTCGCCAATTTGCTAGGATCGCCAGTGTAACAAGGTAACATTGCTACAACGTGGAAGAGAACATGCAGTATGCAGGTTCAAAAATGTAGATCAGTAGCCTGAAGAGTAGATGTATGAAAGGTGGCTGTAAAGTCATGGTCAAAAATGTTACATACATTTTTTCGATTATTTCTCGTACGACGGGTGTTCTCTTGTAATTTCCCTCATCTCTCTTCTTCATGTCTTCCATATCTCTTTTCTGCGGGCTGATTGTTGAAATTGATACACAAAAAAGACATAGAGAGTATAGAGTGATCCTATCGGTTGAAATGGGGGGGGGGGGGGTTCTTATTCTTATAGACTAAGGAAGGAAATACTGGACTAATTAAATGGGGGCTCTCATGGGTTGCTGTTAGTTAGTCTATTACCTACCTCCTTTGTCAATTGCAATCACTCGTTTCCAATAGGATCCTTCCATATCCCTTTTGTCTTCTTTGTCTATGGCTTTGGCCATCAATTTCAACAATCAGTCCAATGGTGCTTTTCCTCTTCTTTTTTAACAGCAAACCAGGCTGAAAACCGACCGGCACGGTGCACAGTGGATCGAGTCAACTAGAGAGGTCGGACATAAATTTTTGGACTAAAACTGCAAATTTTGATGTACATCTCGTCACATTTTAAATTTTAAGGGGTGTCTCTAGAGGAAAATGTCACGAGGAAACCAATGAAACCATTTTTAGAACCTCAAAATTTCGTATAAAGGGAGTTATAGGATTTTGAAGTTTCCAAATTTTGTCCGACCTCCCCCATTGACTTGATCCACCGTGCGGCGTATTGAAACTGTGTCGAGGAGCTGTGCTTAAAAGTATCTCCCGCGAACTTTGCAGTTGTTCCGTTTCAGTGCGCAAGATAACCTCAACGCACTTCATAAATCTTGAAAAAAAACACCACCCCGGAAGAAAAACAGAGAAGTCGGTTGAGAGGGATCGCAAAATAACTCTATTCCTTTAAAGAAAAACGTCTTATGGGCACTCGACTGTTGCCGAAATTCCCCTTATGGAAAAATAACGATTTTTAAGAAAACTTAGAAGCGTTACTCGTGAAATTTTTATTTACACTTGATGGAATTACGGCTAACATCGCATACAACAAAAATTATATTACATATTATATTTGCCAAGAAAATTATTCTCAAGTTACTCAGAAAATTAGTGTTTTAGGATAATATATTCGGCAACGCTCGAATGTTTTTACGATGTTTTTCCGTAGCACTGTGGAGCTGAAAAAATCATTCGAGCGCAATGACCAGGTGTGCGGAGCTGCAGGTTCAGATTTCGCAAAACATACTGCCAACTCATTGTCGGTCCCGAATCGTGAAAATCGAGAAATAAGCGCATTCATCTGGCAACCGTAAGGAGATATGTTCTCTTTTTTTTTGCGGGAGAACACTTTTAATGGTCGGATGGTCAATGGTCAAAGAACACGCAGAGATGAACATTGCTGTCAGTATGGCAAAAATTTAGACATTAGATCCTCGGGCTGAAAATTAGGGAACATGCTGGTGGTAAACTAGAGAGACACGTATTCCAGTCATGTTGTTTCAAGATTTCAGCTAAATTTTCTCGGCGTTGAACTCAATTAAGCAAATTCTGTATTTATTTCAGGACCAGATGTTGCATACACACAGTTGTTAAAAATAATTTCTCTGAGTACAAACTGAAAACGCGCAGTTATTAACAGAAAAAGTTTACCATATGTCCATGATTAACAAAGTTTGCCCCACTTGAAATATACTCCCTCGTAGTCTTCAAAAACCTATCTTATATTTTGAAATCAATTCGTGGGTACCTCCTAATGGTTAGAAATTCAGAAGAAAATACGAATGTAGTTTTAGCAATGACAATAGAGGAAAACGCTTTGACCGAGTAATTGAAAGTTTTTAGGTCGAAAAGAATAAATTTTAATCTGCACCAGGGATTTAAGTGGGAAAATTCTAGCTCTAGAGAGCGGGCTAGGAATTCCTGACCAAAATCTTTTTTCTTCGAGATTTCGACCGGAAAAACACACTTACCGCGCACATATACACTGTAATCCTTGGAAAAATTTGCATAAGGAACTGCGTTTCAAAATACTGTAGGAATTCTCATAGGTGGCTTTAGAAAGCGATAGAAAATCATATAGCTGGCTACAGAAAGCGAAGAAAATGATACAGCCGGACTATACGAAGCGATGAAAAATTACACAGCCGCGCCATAGTCCGTGTCGCCGGGATATACAGTTTATCGCCTGGCCATAGCTTCATCGCTATCGCCTACTAAAGGCTGTATGAAATCCTATGGCCAATTTTTACCAGGGAGTAGACACTTTCTTAAAATATACCAGAAAAGTTCCTGGGAATGGTCCCTGATGGAACTTTTCCGTTCCCGAAACTTGACTTTCCAGAGAGACTGTCATCCCTAAACCTGCCTTGAAGAGAACAAAAAATCATCGGATCGCAGTGGAGGTTTGCTTCCTGTACTAGAATATAAACAAAGTAAACTCTTCGGGACACTACAGAGCGTTCCCTGTCAAAATCACTGAATCTGATTTTCCGACCTGCCACCCGCCTCTTCAAAAATTACTGAAAATTTTGCTCCTGTGAACGCTTTGTAAGACCTTCCATCCCGTGAACAGGCCTATATTTAACATTTTTCTCAGATTTTCCCGCAAGTTAATAGTCTTTCATAGATTTACTGCCCTCTCATGAGGAAAATTTTCATTCGTCAGTGTAATCATGTTTCGCCATGGTAACCGCGGAGGAAATCGAGTCGGACCATGGTTGCAAGATGATTGGATTATTCATCTTTTTCCCCGGAGCTTTGATCGCAAGGTTGTTAAGTCTGACAACCCAGGGGTGACTTTATATGGCACCGGCGGAAATCGTTTAGCGTCCGGTCTGTGGTCGGACAGAACACGACCACTGACCATCGGATGGACAAGAGATTTCCCGGAATAAGCTACACCTACACCTTACTAACATCTATGATGTACCATTCCATAAAGTTCCATTTCCTCTAACTTAAAAATTCTTGAGAGTTCCATTAATGTAATAATAATAATACAAGAAAGGTCTCTTCGTCCAAGTCCATCCCTAACGTAATGCCAGTGCTGCCATTTTATCTTATCAAAAGATTCCGAAGTAATTCCGATTTCCGGAAACATACTCCTTAGTCAAAGTTCCGAGAAAAATTCCGAAATGCGTCCAGATTTAGTTGCGAAGATCGTCAAATTTGATCAAAAAGTCCCTAAATTCGATCAATTAAGTGGTCAAATTGGCGAAATCCCCCAAATTTCGAGGAAGTTCCAAAAATAGCTGAAAATTCCGGGGATTCGGAAGATTCCGTGAAAGGTTCAGATTATTTGAAAAGTTCCGAATTTCGGAATTAATTCAGGGAAGTGGCAGCACTGCGTAATGCTGATTATATGTGGATCTAGACACTTCAAAGGGGGGGGGGCTTCCCCCAGAAACTTTTCGAAAATTTGATGCATCTAACATACAGTTTGCGTATAGTCACGAATAATCACCAAACATAAGCGTCCTCCCCTATATTCTTTGTGCCGTTCCTTCTTTCTTTTTTTCTCCTCTTTTTCGAGCGAAGAGGGAGGGGGCTGCACGTTCTTTATACGGTGTAATCCCCCCTCCCCCTCCCCCCCCCCGGATTCACCAATGATGTATATAGTCGAATCATCATAGACTCAATTTTAGCAACAAGTTGTTCAGCAAGTAAACTTGGAGGAAGAGTTAATCGAGAGGTGGTCGCTGCAAGCGGTGACCGGCGCGGCGAGCGACTATAGCGGCGGTGAATGCTGCTTTCCTGAGATAAAACGTCGTATCCTCAATCGGATTTGCCAAATTTCTTCTCATAAAATACTGTCTCGCTGATGAACATGCAAAATGTTGTCTGTAAGTGTTTCCGACAACTTCATTTGCATTTAAATCTAAAGTGTTCGAAAAGTTGAAGAAAACATGTGAAGACTGGTCTTCAAAAGTGACCGTCCAGAGGAAACGGGACCTTAAAAAAAAAAAAAAAATTACATGAAAATGACAACTTCAGTCTTTGGTGGTTCTTTGATGTTCGAAAAAATAGGTTCCTAGTGGTCTGGCTTATCTTCGTGGAAATAAAATTGAATAGTTTGGATCAATTTTGTAACCTCGAAACTGAGTTACGTTTCTTCGACCGGGAGGCGACGAATTCATTGTCTGCTCCTTTCCCATTAACGATCAAAAATGAGGAGAGGAACTTCAAAACTTGGCGATCGCCATCAGGTGTTGCCAAGGTAGTGGCTAAAGTAAAATAAATGCTCATATTTCCATATTGGAAAGTTTCAAAATCTTCGACCATCTTTTAATATTTTTGAAAGAAAAGTATAACAAATGCTGATGGAAATTCACAGAAAACCTGAAAGCATAAAGAACTAAGGTATGTCTACCTTTACAAAAAAGAACACTTTAAGCGACCTCAGCAACACCTCAAGCTAATTTTATTTGAAGTTCCGAACCTCTCTGAGAAGTTCTGTTCCGGTTTGAGTCATCAATCACCAACACCAGTGGACTCCGTTGTTACCAAATTCGACCAATCAGGTCCGT